AGAGAGAGAGAGAGAGAGAGAGAGAGAGAGAGAGAGAGAGAGAGAGAGAGAGAGAGAGAGAGAGAGAGAGAGAGAGAGAGAGAGAGAGAATGATATGAGTAGAGGTGAGAAAAGGAGGTGGATACAAGTAGCGTAAAATGGTCTCAGAATAAGGGATTTTGAACACAAGCTGCTTTCAAAATAGTTATGCATTATTCATGAAGCCAGTTCATGAAAACATATGTGTCACTCACATCATCCTATAAATAAATCATTAAAACAAAAACAACCAACCACAATATCATTCCTCAAAGAAAAAAAAGTGAATTAAACAGAGATTAGAACTCCTAATGTGTATTTAAAAATGTATTTAAAATAAATAAATACATAAATAAATGATGGATATTTTATATCTAACATGATAATGAAAACAAAGACTAATCTATATTAGCAACAAAATAATCAAAGATTATTTAAAACATGATAAATTATAGCACTTGAACAACTATTCATGAAAAACATTGCATGCATAAATTAAACAAAATGGTTCAATCCCACTTTAAATGGCTGAAAGTGGAGGCACATCCTTTTAAAATACTGTATCTCTAAATGAGGAATAAAACATAAGTCTTCATCTGTCTGTTATCATCATAATGTTCTCTCCTTTCAGCATTCAGTCTGTTTCCAGTCTATGTTGCCTCCACAGGTTAATGAGCATTCACATACACATCCGCCAGAGCAACACACTGACCTGATGAGCGCTGATCGTGTGTGTGAATAAACACATAATCAACTCTGCATGAGCATCACAGCTGAGATATGTGCAGGAACCCCCCCCCAAATCTGTCCTAATGTCATCAGGAGAAGCTAGTGAACACTTTAGAGAGGGTTCAGGGGGTGGATGTTAATAGCTTTAACGACACACAAATCACATTACATTTATAAACACAAGGGCATATCATTGATCACCCTTATAATCATGGAGAACCAACAACTATTCGATTTTTTTCTTGCCAGCATCTTAATTGATTTTGTAAACTGTTTTCTTAATAATTTCCTTTTCGAATTGTTTCCTACAGTCTTGAAAATAAAGGTTATTTATTGGCATCTATGGTTCCATGAAGAACCTTTAACATCCATAGAACCTTTCCATTCCACAAAATATTCTTTATAGTGGTTGTTAGATTATTAATATGTTCTTCACACTATGAAATAATGGTTCTTTTATGAAATGTTCACTGAAAGGTTCTACGGTGAACCCCAAATGGTTCTTCAATAACATTCCTGCAAAGAGACCCTTTTGGAACTTTTGTTAAAGCGTGAATTACAAACCTATCAAAATATTAAATAATATAAATATAATTAAAAAAAATAGTTGTAGGCATAACTAGTATGTAATAGAGACATAACTGTGTATTAACATTGCATTTGGTCAAAACCATGTTACCTACGCTCTGAGAAAATAAAAGAACCATTAACATCCATGGAATCTTTCCATTCCACAAAATATTCTTTATATTCACACTAAGAAAATTATGGTTCTTTTAAGAAGTGTTCACCGAAAGGATCTTTGAATGACCAAAAATGGTTCTTCTACAGGCATCACTGTAAAAAAAAACCTTTAGGAACCTTTGTTTAAGATTGTTTTCCAAACCGACTGAGTCTCTATGTGAATGTATGTAAATATAAAATAATAAAGATATAATAAATTTAAAATAAAGTGTAACCCAAGTTTTCTACGGTCCTTTTGCATTGGGCGTGTGTTGATTTACCTGCACATTTGACTCCCTGAGCGATGAGTCCCCACATGAAGTTGGCACAGTACTCACACCAGTGTGGCCCTCTGAAGGTGTGCACCTGCAAGACAACACGCAAACACAATGACATACAAATCAACTTCTGCTCCTCTGAGCTGTTTAAACCTGCTAATAAAGATGAATGTGTGATTAGAGACACTAGAGAAGTGTCAAATCTGACTGCTGTTTAATCCAATCACAATTAATAAACAGCCAGAGAGAGGGAGAGGGAGAGGGAGAGGGAGAGAGAGAGAGAGAGAGAGAGAGAGCGAGAGAGACAGAGACAGAGAGAGAGAGAGAGAGAGAGAGAGAGAGAGAGAGAGACAGAGAGACAGAAAGAGAGACAGAGAGACAGAGACCGAGAGAGAGATAGATAGAGAGAGAGAGAGACAGAGAGAGAGAAAGAGAGGGGGGGGGGGGGGGGGGGGGGGGGGGGCATTAATCAGGAGGAAAGCCCTGCTCTCTTGCTCTCCACCAAGTAACAGCTCATCCAATCAGACACGTATAAAAGCTCCTGCGGGATGGGCCCGCTGGCTCTCTGAGCTCCTGTAGGAACTGCCAGGGTTTACCATCCTAACAGAAGAGCCATCTTACAGTAGATGATGAAATCACTGTACATCACACTGACATCAACATGAGAAGTGCCCTATTTACATATAAAAGAGGTCTGAGGAATTGAAATGATTCATTATTTACAGAACTGTGGGGATTTAGCGGTTTATGGAAAAGAGGACAAAGAAAAGCATGATGCTTACTGGATTATCAAAAGAAAGGCTTATTTCTTATTTAAGAAATGTATTTATTTATGCAGTAAATAATTATTAAAATTTTTAACACAGAAATAAATGGAAATTAAATATCACTTATTAATGAATTAATATATTTTTTAAATTGTTAATAAAATATTATTTTAACATTATTATCATTTACTAACAAAAAAGATATAACAACTAATTTATTATCTAAAATATAATACATGTCTATTACATACACATATACACCCCATATACATACATACAGTGGGGCAAAAAAGTATTTAGTCAGCTACCAATTGTGCAAGTATATATATATATAAATAATATTTTAATTAAAACAATATTTTCACTTTCATATTATAGTGTATTATTTATTAAGAATATTAAATTATTTTTATATTTAATATTTTTAATATTTTTTAAATGACTGTACTTTATCTCAATACACCATGTCTAGTATATGAATGCTCAGTGTAAACACTGATGGTTCTATGTTTCTAACAATAATAACTTGAATCTGAAGTAATTTTCACTGTACTGCTGATGAAACCAGTCACTATCTAGTATCTGAGCATCAATTATCATGCAACAACAAGGGGGAAAACGTTAGCATGAGAGAAAGCAAGCAGCAGAAAGAGCTCTTGGTGGAGTCAGCAGTCTGTGAGGTTTTGACTCTACACACAAACTGAAGCTGAGAGGGGTCTGGGGGTCTGGGCCGGCACTACCTGCTGATGATAGAAACCAAACGAGGAAACGCTGTTATGTTTACCAATCCTCTATCAGTTCCTAATCGCTCCATCTGTCACCCCAAACAACCTCCCTCGCGCTCCCTTCCTCTCTCATGCAAACACAAGATCTGTTTTTCAGAGCCTCTGGCTGAACTGCCTCTAAATAACCCCAAAACAGACTCAAACAGACTCACGGCTTACAGCATCTCAACTCTTCCAACGTCTCCAGAAACCTGCACTCGCTGCCACGGCAACAACACACCCCTCGGGACGGATTTAAATCACATTTGGGGAGAATTTGCATAACGTGCTATGATATAGTCGCTCTAAAAGTGAGTCACAACAACACAACAAAGTCGACATTTTAATGAATCATAGTAGAATTGAGATGGAATTGAGACCATTAGGCAAAAAAACAAAAAGGTGATAAACCATAAATAATAATATTACCAATTTTATTTATTGCTAATATACCAAAAATACTAAAGTGTATTTTTCTTATCCCAGTGGCAAATCGTTTTTGCTCGTTTAAGCACAAATCAAACTTAATTAACCAAGATTTATGCATTAAACAAGAAACAAAGTAACACAAATAAACTATAAAATATAAAATAAATACAAATTCTTTCATTTTTTTATTTTTTATTTGACAAAACAGTGCAGTATTTCTTTTTTCAAGACTATTATATCACAAAAACATAATTTATGAATCAAAAGTAAGACAGAAACTGGATAATTTTGAAAATGCGAAAAACACAAAAATGTTAACAGACCACAAAAAATAATATTACCAATATTATTTAAAAATATATCAGTAAATATTACCAAGATTATTTTTCTTATCCCATAAGCAAATAGTTTTTGTTCTTGTTTTAAGGACAACTCAAACTGAGCTTTACGTATAAAACAAGAACAAAAAAATCCAATCGGGTAACAAAAATAAACTTTTTCAGAAAATCTTGACAAAAAAAAAATTGGCAAAAACTTGACACATTCCTCTTGTCAAGACTTTAACAATGTCTTCATGCAAACAATGATTTCTAGTAAAATAATCCCATTAAAGCAGGCCGTGAGCCTTTGCGGATCCTTACCTTGAAGTTGTGGACTTTCTCGTACTTGGGCGCCCGCTCGCTCTCCTTCAGCGTGGCTCGACGGACCAGCGACGTGAGCTGCGAATAAGCAAAGAGTTTGAGAGGTTGCCAGAGAGTGGCCGGAGGTTTCTGAGGACTCATCTTCATCCCCAGAGCAGCGGCCACCATCCCCTGCTCCTTGCCCTCTGCCTTGGCCTTGTGCACCAGAGACTTCTCCTCCTTACGGAGAACATAGGACTCGCGAGACGGCATCTCGCACGCTTGAGGAGCGACTCCACACCAAACACACCGACTAAATAAACTTTACACAGCTCCGAGGTCTCCTATCAGACTCTACTACATCTTCTGCCAAAACAAACCAGCAATGTGAACGTCCAATTAGTCCAAATCGAGTTTCTCCAGCGAGTGTATGAAGCCCTGAGTGTGTGAAGACCCTGCGTCTGGCTCTCCCTGAGCATCTATATGCAGATGAGATGAGTTGTTGAGTTAATCCCGTCCTGCCTGTGAGCAGCAGATATCCTCTCTGGAACGCTGCCTCAAAGAGAGAGCGAGGGGGGCAGGCGGGGAGGACCCAACGACAGTCACACTGAATTACACAGCTCCAATCAGCCAATCCCAGCAGAGTCTGTGAGAGAGCTCACCCCGCCCCTACAGCAACCAATCCCCCAATCCAAGAGAGAGAGAGAGAGAGAGAGAGAGAGAGAGAGAGAGAGAGAGAGAGAGCGCGTAGGGGGAGATAAGGAGTGGGACGTAATGAGGGGTGAATGAGTCATGGATCAGCTCTGAGCTCATACTCCTCTAATAAAAGCACAAAGCCACCACACCAATCCACCATAAACACAACCCACCCTATGCATGAGGACTGAACGATTTGGGGGGGGAAAAAATCAAATTGCAATTACAATTTAAAACAAGAATTTGTAAGGCTGCACAAGTTGGCTAAAATTTTGTGATTATGTACATAAAATATCAAATAAAAATGACAATATTTATTGTAATATCTATGGATGTCTTCATTAATTTCTAAACATTTAAACATTAAACAACAACAATAAGTTGCTATTATTATCATTATTATTATTAAATAGAAAAGAGTATTTATTCAATTAAATACAAATGTTTAATATTTAATTCATTTTCAAACATTTAAACATTAAACACCACCAACAAGAATAATAGCTAGTATTACAAAATAAAAATATAAACATGACTAAATAAAAACAAAATATTACTATTGGTATACTCAAATTAATTATTAATTATTAATATTACAACAACAACTGTAAAATTACAATTAAACCACAGCCTGTGTGATGTGATAAGCCTTGCTGTGATTTTGGTTTTATTTTGACTAACTGTGTATCTATATTTATCACAGGGCTCTCTGGAATACCTGACTGTAAATGGTCAATTGAGTAATTCTGTGGTCAAATATTTTTGTATAATGACGCAAACCTGACTAAAGCCCACAGTAACCAAGTTCCTAACTATTTCATAGATGTGCTAGTTTCATATAAAGATATGAATTATACATGATACAAGTTTTTCCTTCACGCATAATGAAAAAAAAAACATTCAACTCAAATCAATATTTCAAGACCCGTGTATTTATTTACTGTTCACTGAAATGGGTTTGCCATAAAACATTAATAAAACGCAGGGGGGAAAAAAAGTGGAGTGAATTTCCATATTGGACATGGGGATTCATCAGGCCTGAACCTGCTTCACTGTGTGTAATGAAATCAGCTTCCTGCTTCATTCACACGACTCTCTCCTCTCCATCTCCAGACACACACACACACACACACACACACACACACCAATCTGCCTTCATAAATCATAATGGCAGCATCAGCCAAATGACTCTGGATCATTCCCAAACAGATCAGACAGAGATTATGTCTAAACACTGTCTCTGTTTGTGTGCTATTATTATACTGCACATTATACACTGATACACTGATATATTGGCCAGGATGATTAATTGGCTGATATCTGCCTGATATTTCGAAAAGGCATCGGTCAACAAATGTGCCTGTCTTAGCTCCACCTTCACTTCTGTCCAGCTGCCAGTGAGAACACAGGTGAGGCACACTTTGTTTACAAATGTTTTGGAGGTGAATTTGAAGTAAATGTTTGTAACATAAGATACTGTTCAACAGTTTGGGGGCAGTAAGATTTTTATTTTTTTTTATGTTTTTGAAAAAACTCTCTTTTGCACACTATAAGGTTGCATTTATTTGATAAAAAAAATTACAGTAAAAACTGTAATAATGTGATTTATTATTACAATTTAAAATAATAGTTTTCTATTTTAATATATATTAAACTATAATTTATTCCTGTGATCAAAGCTGAATTTTCAGCATCATTACTCCAGTCTTCAGTGTCACATGATCCTTCAGAAATCATTTTAATATGCTGCTTTGCTGCTCAAGAAACATTTCTTATTATCATCAATGTGCAGCGGATTGTTTGACGAATAGAAAGTTAATATTATAAATGGCTTTTGATCCAATTTTATGCTGAAAAAAAGCATGCATTTGTTTTCGAACAAAAATCTTACTGACCCCAAACTTTACATGGTCTTCCTGCTTTCTAAATATCAACATTGTCCATTAAAAACCCACATTCTATCAAATATCAAGTCAACTTCTTAATTAAAGATGCACGTTTAAGATGCATGTGTTGTAGTAACATCATTATGCTATTATTATCATTTAAAATCTGCTTTAAGCTAAAAAAAATTTATAAATCTCACACACTACTCAAACTTGCATTCTTACGCAATTTTATTAGCTTAGTAATGTGTAAGTCAATCAACCTTCCTCAGGCTTGCACTAAACCTGGAAGGTTGATTGACCGAGAAAGACTTTTATATTGCGCTTTTTAAAAAGATGTGAGTGGCATGTGCAAATTTCTTTTTCATCTCTATTTTTTCATTTAATGTGCCATGCTGCATGTGTGAAGCACTTCAAATGTGTAATTTAATGTGTAGTTTGCACTGAATGTTAATTATAATCGAATACACTCTTCCGTCTTTCTCTCTTATCTCAGCTGGATTGTTCATCCTCTTCTGACAGCAGTATGTTGGATCCAGACATGCCGACACACACACACACACACACACACACACACACACACAGCGTTTCCCTTTGATCAATACCACAGGACTCGATCCTCTCCAGCGCCAGTGAGCAAAGTGCCCAAATGGAGGGCTGGATGAGAGACCTCCCGCCTGCTGGCTTCCAGATCAATAAGCCAAGCGGAGGCAGAGAATATGAAACCGCTGGAGCCGAGATGAAACGCTCAGCGTCAGAGTCTCCAGCGGTGCAGACCTGAAGGAACCCTCACACCCTGACTGCTACCTGTGCCAGTGGCTTCACACGCCAACACAGCTGTTTCCACATGTACACACTCGGCCCGTGTGGTGGCGGTGCGGCGTTTGAGGACAGCATGCTGCGTCTGACCAGTCAGTCTGGCAGGAAGTGGGCTTTCAGTCCCATCTCTAATTGACAAGATTGATCTTTCTGCTTTCTCAAATGTGTCTGGAGCAAAACGCTGGTCATAAACGGGCGGAATGGCTAATTCAAGGCCATTTCCTTTCTTCTCCCAAAACGACACGAGTGAGTCCATCTGTTTGTGCAATCACTCATTCAGTTTGACACTCAACACCTGATGGGTTCACAGGAGTTTGACGTTCTCTGAGCCAGGTTAGCCCAAAGAGAGAGAAAAAGCGCACACATGCACAGACTAACATCATCTGCTGCTCTATCATGTTGAGGTATGATCACAGTTAAATGTGATGTCAGTATTTTTTGATGTTAAACTACTTTTCAGTTTATTTGGCTTTACATAAAACTGAATCCAGTGTTGTTATAACTAACACCGTGAGTCAGTTTGATCAACCAGTGACATATGGTGGGAAAATTTGGGAAACCTGTTCGAAAACAATTTTATTTATTTATTTTTTGCATTTCTGCTTGATGCCTTTAACTCCATAAAGCCTACTGTGTCATATTTGATACGCAAAGGCCTGGACATAATCAAATGTTTTTTTTTAGTAAAATCATGTTAAAAAAAAAAAAAAAGTAAGACTTTTGCTGAACATTTATTTGTTCATCTCTCAATCATCATTGTATTGCATTGCCTTATATGTTTTGTCCCCCACAATAAAACAAACTACAGATCTTTAATCATAAAACTAAGCATTCAAAAATCATACTAAGACATTATTTTGAGACTTTAGAAGTGTAACAATATTCAAACCGAACCGAAAACCGCGATACACTACCCATGAAACGCATCGCAGTACTCTCGGTATGTCACTTCTCTTGATTGAATAGTTTTTGTAACTTCAACAAGGATTGGTCTTTAATTGATAAAGTGAAACATGCACTGTTATTTTACATTTGTTTATTTTGACATTTCTGAGCCTGAAAATTACTATTAAACACGTGAAACACAAGGTTTATTTAATTGATATCTTTGCTCTATTGTATTTATTTGCGCTGTTGCTTGTAGTTTGATTATTTGTTATTATTTTCTTTATTTTTATTTGACCATAGTCCTTTTTTTCCTGAAAATACAGGTGCATCTCAATAAATTAGAATGTCGTGGAAAAGTTCATTTATTTCAGTAATTCAACTCAAATTGTGAAACTCGTGTATTAAATAAATTCAATGCACACAGACTGAAGTAGTTTAAGTCTTTGGTTCTTTTAATTGTGATGATTTTGGCTCACATTTAACAAAAACCCACCAATTCACTATCTCAACAAATTAGAATACTTCATAAGATCAATAAAAAACACATTTTTAGTGAATTGTTGGCCTTCTGGAAAGTATGTTCATTTACTGTACATGTACTTAATACTTGGTAGGGGCTCCTTTTGCTTTAATTACTGCCTCAATTCGGCGTGGCATGGAGGTGATCAGTTTGTGGCACTGCTGAGGTGGTATGGAAGTCCAGGTTTCTTTGACAGCGGCCTTCAGCTCATCTGCATTTTTTGGTCTCTTGTCTTTCATTTTCCTCTTGACAATACCCCATATATTCTCTATGGGCTTCAGGTCTGGTGAGTTTGCTGGCCAGTCAAGCACACCAACACCATGGTTATTGAACCAGCTTTTGGTGCTTTTTGCAGTGTGGGCAGGTGCCAAATCCTGCTGGAAAATTGACTAACTGAACCACTTAAACTACTTCAGTCTGTGTGCATTGAATTTATTTAATACACGAGTTTCACAATTTGAGTTGAATTACTGAAATAAATTAACTTTTCCACGACATTCTAATTTATTGAGATGCACCTGTAGCACATACCGAACCGTGACCCTAGAACCGTGAACCAAACTGAACCGTGAGCAATCTAAACCATTACACCTCTAGGAGATACTAAGTGATAACTGATATTTATATGTATTTTAGGTCATATTAAAGTCTGTTATACTGATTTACATCAAAGGCTATCAGAATTTTATCCTAGTTTATGGTCATATAAATATCAGCAACTGCACCATATTAAATATTTTGCTCAGTTTGGG